TCTCTCTATTTCACTTTTTAAGTATTTGTATTTTAATGTTGAACACACTGCTTCTGTAACAAAATAATCTATCCATCCATCCATCCATCCATCTCTCTATCTATCCATCCATCCATCCATCTCTCTCTCTCTGTCTGTCTGTCTGTCTATCTATCTATCTATCCATCTATCTATCTATCTATCTATCCATCTATCTATCTATCTCTCTATCTATCTATCTATCTATCCATCCATCCATCCATCCATCCATCTCTCTATCTATCTATCTATCTATCTATCTATCTGTCTGTCTGTCTGTCTGTCTGTCTATCTATCTATCTATCTATCTATCCATCCATCCATCCATCCATCCATCCATCCATCCATCCATCCATCTCTCTCTCTCTCTCTCTCTCTCCATCCATCCATCCATCCATCTCTCTATCTATCTATCTATCTATCTATCTATCTGTCTGTCTGTCTGTCTATCTATCTATCTATCTATCTATCTATCTATCTATCTATCTATCTATCTATCTATCTATCTATCTATCTATCTATCTATCTATCTATCTCTCTCTCTCTCTCTCTCTCTCTCTCTCTCTCTCTACTATCTATCTATCTATCTATCTATCTATCTATCTATCTCTCTATCTATCTCTCTATCTCTCTCTCTCTCAATCTATCTATCTATCTATCTATCTATCTATCTATCTATCTATCTATCTATCTATCTATCTATCTATCTATCTATCTGTCTATCTATCTATCTATCTATCTATCTATCTATCTATCTATCTATCTATCTATCTATCTATCTATCTATCTATCTATCTCTCTATCTATCTGTCTGTCTGTCTATCTATCTATCTATCTATCTATCTATCTATCTATCTATCTATCCATCCATCCATCCATCCATCTCTCTATCTATCCGTCTGTCTGTCTATCTATCTATCTATCTATCTATCTATCCATCCATCCATCCATCCATCCATCTATCTCTCTCTCTATCTATCTATCTATCAACTGGAAATACACATTTTAAGTGCTGGCTTTCAGGTGTTGGATATTAAAGCGCTGTGTTCCTCTTTGTAATGCAGACATGAGGAAGAGTGTGTGTTACCGAAACTACAACGACACGTGTGAGAACGAGCTGTCCTTCAACATGACCAAGAAGATGTGCTGCTGCGCCTACAACGTGGGGAAAGCCTGGAACAAACCCTGCGAGTCCTGTCCCACTCCGGCCACCAGTGAGTCTCAATGAAGATCTATTTTTTGAACTAGTGTTAAAGGTCACCTATTATGCAAAATCCACTTCTTCATGTCTTTTCTACATCAACATGTGTCCCCTCTGTGGAAAGAGACTCTGGAAGTTTCAGGAAAAAAGATTCTCTCTCTTTTTGTCCTGATCCATTTCTATACATTTCTATCTGAAAATGAGCTGATCAGATTTTGGCCACTTTATGATGTCATAACGTTTTTTTGGCTTGTGTAACCATTAGCCAATCAGCAACCCTTATCACCTGAATCTCCTCCTAGAGCACCATTGAGTTCTTTGTAACCAAATCTCTCTCAGAGGGGCGTGGGGAGGGGCTCCTTATTTTCATCTAAAGTAACAGACAGAGAATCAGCACTTTGGAAACAGGGCTGAAACAGAGGGGATTATGGGTAATGCTGCAATGATCTGTTTGGCGTTTGGAGCCAATCAGAGTCAGGTTCTTGTATTCACTGAGTGTTTCCTGTGTGTTTCAGCTGAGTACCAGTTGCTGTGTGGGAACCAGGCTCCTGGCTTCATCATCGACATCCACACTGGAAAGCCCGTCGGTAAGATCATTATTTGAAATGTATTTCTATATTATTCACCAGGTGTTTGTGTTGTGACAGAATGCTAAATGCTTTCAATGTTTGTCGTAAAGCATTTTCATTTGCCTTGTTGTTAAAATGTGTTTTCGCAATCAGTAAACAGTGTGAAAAAGTGCTGCTGTTACAACGTTCATTTTGCATAATATCTGGTGTGTGTTTTGTGCAGATATTGATGAGTGCAGGGAGATCCCCGGCATCTGTGCCAACGGGGTGTGTATCAATCAGATCGGGAGCTTCCGCTGTGAGTGTCCGATGGGCTTCAGCTACAACAACATCCTGCTCATCTGTGAAGGTACGACACACGTTAAGTTTCCTCTGTTTTGTTCATCTTACTGTGTCGAATGCTATAAAAGATAACGGTCATTACCTGGGATTCAAAAACCAGTTTCCCTATTATAAGACAATGTGCACATACCGTAATTTTCGGACTATAAGCCGCGCCTTTTTTCCAATTTTTCGACCCTGCGGCTTATATAACGGTGCGGCTAATCTATGGATTTTTACAGCTAACGGCCACTAGGGGACCTCCTAAATCTATGGATTTTACAGGTTACAGTCCACCACCTTTAACTCTATGGGCTCTATGGCCGATCCGCGGAAACCCACCTTTAAGCGGCGGGCTCCAGCAGGAAAAGCTGGAGGCCGGAAAAGAGTGAGACAGGTAGCGCGCAAAAGTAAAAGTGGAACCGAGAGTGGTACGAGAGACAGAACGAGAGCAAGACAGACAGACATTACGAGAGCGAGACAGTTTGTCCCCGTACCACTGGTTGAAAACCACTGCTGTAGATCACTGCCGGTACGTGCGCTGGGAGCGCACCGTTTAAGTTTGAAAGTTGAAAAGTTTGTGTGTCTGAAACGCTATGTGATGCAGTACAGTTTACACAGCACATGTTCTGTAGCTACTATTGCACTAAATGCTAACACTTGAATACGTTATGCAAATATGCAACTTGTTTGTTGAAATGTTAATAAATGGGAGCTTCCTCAAACAGCCATCTCTTTCCCGACAATCCCCTCTGTGCACGAACCCTTACATATGGTAATGAAACATTAAAACACCTGCGGCTTATAGTCCAGTGCGGCTTATATATGTACACATCATTCAATTTAGCTGCTGCGGCTTATATTCAGGTGCGCCTTATAGTCCGAAAATTACGGTAATAGTTGTAAGGGAATAC